TCTATTTACTTATAACCAGTAAAAGTACTCTTAATTCTGCAGAATGGAGTTGAGTGGTTTCTTTCTTGGATATCAAGTGAAGCAGCCCTGACACTTTGTCTGAAGAGGTATGGGGTCTCCTGCTTGAGCAAGCAGTTGGACTAGAAGATCTCCAAGGTCCTTTCCAGCTGTATTCTTATTGATTGACTCAAAGCTGTCATTGAGTAACTGTTATGGAAATTATTGGACTGCCTACTTTCTTTAACTGACAGTTTTTATTCACTCTCTCAAATCTCAAACTTTTCAAAATCTTATACGGCAGCTCTTCAGGAACAAAAATAGGTCTGCTCTTGGCATCTTGCAAGGGAGCAACCAATTAAAGCAACTCATTCTGCCAAGATAAAATTTCATTCCCTCCAGCAAAGTGTAATGTGGGGCTCTGTGGTCACAAAGAAATGAATAGTCATCATATCTTAAATCCGCTAAATTCCCTCTGCAAACCAGAATTCATCTGGAAACACGAGAGGATTGCCAGATGTCTCTCTTCACAATGAAACCAAGGATGCATAACATAACTTCGCTAACTTTAATGGGAACAAATTCCTTGATAACTTTACAACTGATATACAACACAAATCACTGAAGAAACGCATTTCTTGATAACCTAAATCTATCAACCGTATTAGTTTTCATCAATGAAACTACCGTATACATTCATGAAATGTTATTTTTATATTCAATAGAAATTTGAGGTTTTTAGAAGTATAATCTTTGTATGCTTGAACTGAAGGAACACCAATATGTCTTTATAATAAAAGTGTTTTTTGTAGTCATTTTCGACAAATGATATTATGAGTCCATTTTGTCTTCCTTTCATTCAGTGAATGTTAGTTTGAGGATTATAAGACACATAGCATTATCTTTAATTACTGTTGTTCTAGTCAGAAGCTCTTTCAAAATCTTGACCCATTGTTGATTCTTGCATTTCATGACCTTTGAGTTTCATAATATTCTTATAAAAATATATAAATATCTAACTAAGGGCAGCAGTGCAAGCATCTGAAAAATGAAATTAATTAATGCTTGCAGTGCAATGAATTTGTTGCTACTTTAGGAGGCCAAATAGATTTGGGGTGTATCGCTGCAACAAAGAAATATAGCTATCCTTTTAGAATTTATTGTATTAATAATTCCATACTTTTGTTTAAGTACTAATGGTTCAACAGTTGACCTAACTTAATAAATGTTTCAAAGCTACAGACTCCTGCGCTTTTAAAGTCTGGAGAATTGCTTCTCAGTAAATTTATTTAGGATTAGCCTGGTGACAGAGATATACGGATCAATTTTTATTCAATCTGTCACTAGAAAGGTTCATTAGCATTTTCAACCACAGCTCTGCAATATTTTTTATTCTTAATCTGTAAAATGATCTGAAGAACATTGCCCAATATTTTGTAATTGTCATTGATATATGCATTATTGTATACAATATTTGAATATTTATTTTGAGACTAGCAGAGTCTATAAATAATATGACTTTCTGGCACAAAAAGCATACTGTTTCTTGGATAGCACCATGTTGCATAAAAGGACTTTTCCTTAGCCACATATTACCACTTGGCTTATCTCGTAAGGCTTAAAATGTTAATTTCCTAACCTTATTCCTGCAGAATAATTTGTTCATTTGAAATGAGGATCATTTATCTTTTTGTAGAAAAAAGTGCCGTATCACATATGACTTTCTAAAACTTTGGTGAAATTATGAATCAATTGATATAATTTCATATTTTAAGAATATATGCTAAAATAAAGATATACAGTAAAGAAAGGCAGGGCACGTATTACACTGAAGACCTTTATAAAAATTTCCTTCAGAATTCCCCCCCCACAACAGCATGCAATTTAATGAACCAGTTAGAGAAAAGGAAGAAATCGACTGTGATTTGATTAGCAGATTAGAAATAACACAACCTTTTGGAAAACACAACTATCCAAATAATTGCAAGAGTAATTTAAAATTCAGGTTACATTAAATTGTTAGATTAAAAAAATAAAAATTGGCTTTCACTTTAAACTTTGAAACATGTTGTCATATACAGACTTAAAAACTCTTTAATACTTAAAACAAATGATAGAACTTAACTAAATAAAGTTTGGAGTACTCTAATATTATTAGATGAACTGTGATTAGGAATTGGGGAGAGGTCATATTGTTCAAAGATCGCTGAATGAGCAGTCAGTAAATGAGGACTATCCATAATACAAGTTTTTGGTTAAGGACAAACTCAAAATTTGGAGAAAACGTTTTCTGATAAAACTTCTTCATTCTCTTGTCTCATTGCCTCTTTGAATTACTTTGAAAGACTGCAACTTTCGGAATTCCATGCTGACTTCTAGGGGATTCTGGGAGTTGTAGTCCCAATGAATTTGGAGGGGTCCCAGATTAGGGAAGCTATTCTAGAAAGCTCCCTTGGGAGCTAGAGCTACTATATTCTGAGCTGAAGCGAGTGACAATGGCCTGCCATTTTAATATCTCTATGGCCGGGCGTCATACTTGATTTCATTGAGGGCCGCATCAGGGTTGTGTGTGTGTGGGGGGGGGGGGGGGGTGAGTGTGGCCAGCTCAACGTCACTTGTGTCAGAGGACCCTGTGGTGGCCCGAGGGCTCTGCCGGTGAAAACAGAGCTCGGGAGGGCCCCCGGCTGCTTTCTTACTGGCATCACGAGCCGGACTTTTGCTGTTTCTAGGGCAGCCCTGCAGGCTAGATCCAAGTAGCCCATGGACCGGATCCACCCTGCAGGCCTTGAGTTTGACACCCCTGCACTATGGAGTTCCTGTTTGATTCCACTTTCTGGGATGGAAATTAAAAGAGCTGTAAGATTAGGCAGAGATGCTGCTCAACTAGAGGGAGCTAATGACAGCCATAGGGAGTTAGCATACAAAAGGCCTTGTGGCGGCCCATGCTGTCAAGGCCACCACACTGTATTTGGAGAGCAATGAATCAGGACAACATGCCCGGTCAGGTTACCGGTCATTCCCTGTTGCTTCTGATAGCTCTTTGGAAAGGGCGGCATGTTCAGTTGACTGGAAAAGCCCATTTGCAGCAGTGCTTAAGGACTCTTGACCAGACTGTAAGTCCAGGTTCTTCCTTAGGCAGGAAGCCAGCTGGGGGACTTTGGGCCGGTCCGTCTCTCTCAGGGAAAAGGCACAAGCGGTTTCTGAAAAGTTTGCCAAGAAAACAGCCAGGCAATTACAAGAAGTTAAGACTGAGTTGAAGGCAAAGCTAAAATACAGGTAGTCCTCGACTTATGACCACAATTGAGTCCGAAATTTGTATTGCTTAGTGAGAAATTTGTTAAGTGAGTTTTGCCCCATTTTATGACTTTTCTTGCCACATTTGTTAAGCAAATCACTGCAATTGTCAAATTAGTAACGCAGTTCTTAAGTGAATCTGGCTCCTCCGTGGTCTTTGCTTGTCAGAAGGTCGCAAAAGGTGATCCCATGACCCCGGACATTGCAGCTGTCATAAATCTGAGCCAATTGCCAAGCATCTGAATTTTGATCAAGACTTTGGGGATGTTGCAACAGTCCTGTGAAAAAGAGTCATAAGTCACTTTTTTTCAGTGCCGTTGTAACTTCAAATGGCCACTAAGGTAGTCGCGGACGACCTGTACAGTAAAACAGGAGGAGTCAAAAGGAAATCAAACCATGATTTTTCTCCTTTCCAAATTATTAACAGTAGCCGTATCATAGAAAATACACTTTCTTTTTTAATAACAGCAAGAACAATAAAAGCCTATTTTGACACCAGTCGTGTTCTGAATCACACACCACCGGATCAGCCCCCCCTCACCCAATGGCCTCTTTTTACAATGACCACCCACGTGCAGTGGGAGGTTGAGAGAAAAACGCCTTTGCAGGGTCCTCCTATTGTCCTCCGGTGGACCGGAGATCCAGAGGCATCAGAGACGTCGTGTCGGGACGCGTCTAAAATCCTTGATTTTAAAGCATTCCACAAAATAATGAACGGGGCTCCTAAGGCAGCCACGGGGGGGGGTCCCTTAAAGGAGAACAAAGGATCATTAATAAGAGGTGAGAGCGCCCCCCCCCCCCCTTCCTTTCGCTGCTGCGTCCTGCTGCACACACTGTTATCGCATCAGAGACGCATAATTTGTCACGCCAAGTGTCCGCTCTGGAGCCCACCCAGGTTCCAGAGAGGCGGTCGGGAGAGCCGGTCTTTCCGCACAGCGGAGCATCTTCTCCTCCTCCTCCTCCTCCTCCTCCTTTTGCCCAACAAGCGGCATCTCGATGGTCTCAGGAGGTGAAAGGTAAAGGCTGCGTTCGCGCGCCTCGAGCGCCATCTAGCCACGGACGGAGGCGCTGCGACTCGCAGCGTTCACTTTAAGGCAGCCGGCTTCGGAGCCTAAGGAGCTTGAAACGCCCCCCCCCCCCACTCCGCTCCGCCGCCCCCCCTGCAAATCCCGGCTTTTCCAGCTCGCTTTGGGGGAACGCCGGGTGTCTCCCGCGGCGTCGCCTCCGTCTAGCGCGGAGAGACCGAAGCTTGGGAGGCGCTTGGGGGAGAGGAGAGAAGGGGAGGAAGGAGGATCCCAGGGAAGAAGAAAGCCAGCGTGCTTCGGGGCTCGTCGAGGCTCTTGGCGGGGCTCCTTGGAGGAGGCTCTCCCGCGCCGGCCCCCCTTTCCAGAGAGCGGAGGAGGGAGAAGAAGAAGGGGGTCCCCAACAGAGCAAGGCTTGGGCAGCTGCAGCTCCAGCGCCGTGCGGAGCGAGCGAGACAAAAGCGGGCGAGTGGAGCCCGAAAGAGCCGCTCCAGACACGTTTACACACCGGCGCGCGAACACGCGCAACCCGCGGCGAGATCCATCTTGAAGGGGGTTCCGGCTCTCCCGCTTGCCGTGGTCGCCGAGCCCGGCTCGCCCCGCTCTCTTGCGGACTCTTTGGGGGATGCCAATTCGCCTCCTCCTCCGCCAATGTTTCACTGGGGCAAGTGGAAGAAGAGGATGGGAGCCAGCGCCTCTTCCTCGGCTTCCAGAAGACCCGTCTTCGACGAGAAGGAGGACGGTGAGTGCGCCGTCCCGGGGTGGCTGCGGCGGCGGTGGTCGTTTGACTTCCCGCGCAGCCCCGGCCCCTTCTAGGTCGGGTTGGTGGGATGGGAAGGGGAGAGCGGGTCGGGGGGGGGGCTTCCCCAGCTGCCCCCTGTGTCCCCCCGGGGAAGGAAGCGCCACCCTCCCCGCAACTTAGCAAAGTGCTCCGGGCAAACTCTCGTAGCTGCTCTGGGCGTGGGGGGTGGGTGGGGGGGATGTTTGGAAGTGAGGAAATCAGTGGCGGCGGCGAAGAGGCTGAGGAGGGGGGCCAGGAGGAGACTCATTTTGTGGGGGGGGGGGGCAGTTTCTTCTTCTGAGGAGGAGAGCAAGCTCTCGGCTTCGCTTAGGGGCCTCACGATTTTCCGAGCAACTTTTTGGGGGGGAGGGGAGGTCGCAGATGTAGAACGAGGACCCCCCCCATCCCCCCTCCCGAGATCCCCATTTCGCCACCGCTCGAGAAAGTGACACGCGCGATCTTCCCTCGAACGTGCCGGCTTTGGGCGGTTCGGCTTTGACCCGAATAGGATTTGGAGCTGAGCAGGGGCTTAGCAGAGCTGGGGAGGGTTTATAATGAGGATTTATTAGGCTACGAGGTTTACTAATGCGCTATGGAGACCGTTTTACCAACGGGGATTAGCCCCTCTCCGCCCGCTCGGAAGAAACCAGGAGCCTCTTTTACGCTACAGGCTCCGCTGAGGAAAAGGATCCTTTCCCGTGCGCCTCCTCTTCTTCTTCTTCTTACGGTGCTAATAGCTAATTTCTGCACGGTTGTTCCAGCCGAGTTGCATATTGGGGAAAGGGCTGCCGTCCTGAGTAGGGGGCCTCACATCCCTAAATAAATGTGTGGAAATTTGTTTCCCAGTCAAATCAGGACTTCCTGGCGCCTTCATGCAAAATGCATCTTGTGTACATCATATATAATTCTACTCTGGTTTTCTAGGAGTAGGATTTGTCTTGAATCTTTTCTACCTTTTTGCTCTTCTTCACCTCTTTAGTCGTGTAAATCCATTTCCGTGTTAAGTAGCCCTGAGAAAACCAGTCATAAATCACTGATGTCCTCAGAAGCCACCTTGCTGAGGGTTTTGATAGAAATAGTTACTTAGAACATTTAAAAAAACCCTCTATGTGCAAGCAACTGCCAAGACTAGTAAAATATTTTTCAAAATAGCATTTTGAATTACCGGTTGATGATTTTTCTGTATTTGATCCAGGCAGAATTAGAAAAAAACAATTTTGTCCTCTGACCCAATTTGTTGATAATTTCATTTTTTTAAAAAATAAAACCATTGGGATGTTTTGCTGGATTATTAAGGGGCCAGACTGTATTTCCTTGCTAATATATGGCGTAAAGTTTAGAGGTTGAAGAAAGAATATTGACTACATCAGTAAAGTTTTAACAAATTAAGTTTGAAATTCTCATCAGATGATTTTAGCAGCCATATTGCTCTTAAAAAAACTTTTATGCCTCCAGCAGTTTAGTATTGAGGTCCCTTTCTTACTTGTCTGGTTTCAAAATCTGTCTTTTGTAATCACAGCTTTTTAATTTAACGTGTGTGAGATAATAGTTTTCAGAGTAATGTTTCATTTCTGGAATTAAGGTCCAACAGTTGCTCAAATACTTTAGATACACAGTCTCAAGCAATCGGAACACCTCCGAGAATGAATGGGTCGTACAGGTTGGTTTATTGCTGATTATCAGTTTACCAGAATCTTGCCAGGCTGTCTGCCTCTTCCTTAGGAAATAACAAATATAGACCTAAAGATTTGACCTAAAAGGTTTTCTTGCTCCTAAGGACTGTAACCTGAAATGTCTTTTGATCCTGCCCCTCAGTTGTGGCCTTCTCTCCTTCAGCAGGTGGTTCCAACTACACCTTTTTAAATTTAATTTGTACTCCGTTATTCTAGAATCAGCAACTCTTCCTACTCTTAGTCCCTCTTCATGCGAATCCTATTTAATGCTTAGTTTAGCTCAGTCTGTCACTGGCGAGCATTGGTTGTCAGACAAGAAGCTTTTCCAGCCTTACCTGCCATGGGTTGGAGCTGCAACCTTTGGCATCCAAATAAGGCCTTCTGCCCCTGTGCTCTAGCCGCCTCCCTGACATGCAGACCCTGTAAAACTCATCAGAGGCAGCGGGGGCAGGAATATTTCAGTTGTTTTTCCGATCACATATGATTAATGTGTTATGGTTACTGTTTTGCATTTAATGATTTTGAGAACGTGTGCTAAAGTCGACTTTGCTCTCTTGAAGAAAGAAAAAATGGGCAACATCTTGAGATCCAGGTGTTGCTTTGCTCTTGGGCTGCTCCCCAGAATGAAAGCTTGCAGGATTATAGGATGAAAGTAGTTAATGCAGTGAAAGGCACCCACTTTTCTCTTTTCAAAATGACCTTTCTAACACGGAGATGTATAGCCTGCTCCTTGCTCTGAGGCCGGATGGAAGGTTTGCTAGAGCTGGGATCTGAAAAAGAGACTTAATATCTAAGGAAGCCCCCAAAGGGAAGTGAAATGCAATGCAACTTTCACGAGTCATCTCTCAAATGTCATATATAGCATTGCTTCAAGGATCATTACATTTTTTTCCTTTTGTAAACTTTTCTGCCCAGCAGTTTGGTTAGGTACTTTAGGACACAAAGGCAGCAGAACAAAATAAACAGGTTTTCACACACACACACACACACACACGCACGCACACACACCTACCTCATATATATTGTCTACTTGGATTTATGTGAGTAGTGTAGCATTTTAATCGTAGGCTTACGTGAGATAATAGTTCAAAAAGTATTCCGTTTTGGGGTTGTTTTTTTTTGGCAAACCAGGAACATGCTCTTTACACTGGTGCTGGTATTGTATCATTCACACAAATGGGCTAAATTGCAGTGAGCTTTCCATTGCAGAGGTCAAGGAAATGTTAATAAAATCTGGAAGGAAGGTATGGCCATAAATCCCAATTGTCTGTAATAGAATCTCTCAATTCTGTTTGGAGAGAGAGCTGTCAATTTGAGCAAGGAACTACAAAAAGATTCAGAATAAACACGCATAATTCTTCCAATATGGTCTAAATCAGGGATCCCCAACTCCTGGTCTGCTATCAGCACCAGTCCACACCCCATTGTGAACTGGGCTACATGAACAGCAGTGGGTGGCAAAGCTCCGTTTGCGCAAGTGGTGAGCGCACAGGGAGTCCTCCTGGATCCGCAGCTGTCATTTGACCACCATCTAACGGCTGTGACCAGGGGGGCATTCGCCCAGGTTCGCCTGGTGC